ATCCATATAATCTTCGGAGTTGGATTTCCTGTGGCATTACAATAGAAGGTTGCCATGGTACCCTCAGTGACAGTCTTGTTGACCGGCTTTGTGTCAACAGTTGGTGAAACTGTAAATCAAAATAGAAAAGATGACCTCAATACATTCTTTCTATTTTTCCCTCCAGTTTTATATTAACGTATTTTGCTCAAATCCATAGCCTTTGGTAGCCACAGAAGGCTCAAGTTTTCAAGAAACGTGTACCGGCTTAGTCGCAATTGGATCCTTGAATTCCTTCTCGGCGTACTGTCTACTGTATGGTATACTTCGTCGGCGCAATGTTTGTGAAATTTTGCTGACTCATAAATGAGTTATGCAGCTCGGAAAATAAGAAAACCCAGACTTGTTTTACCTCTTTTTTTTTTTTTTTTTTCAATTGTCCTTACTTTCCTTTTTTCCTTTTTGGAAAGTTTGTCTACCAATTTCAATAATCATCAAGCATTGACACTCTGCATGTATATGACCTGAATACATCTCTCGTATCCAGTACTCTGTCGTCACAGATTCAAAAATGCTTTTCCAACACTTACACAGAACATTGAGCAAAGCACTGGCGTTGACAGTCAAGCCCAACTCGTTCCTTGCCTTACACCAGTACTTTCCGGATTGATCCTTGCTAGTTTCAAAGCTCAGTTTGTCCCCTTGACTCACAGCCTCCCCATCTTTTATCCAACTCACAACTGGAGGTGGGTTTCCAGTGGCACTACAATGGAATTCTGCCGTTTCACCTTCCCTCACAGTTTGGTCGCTTGGTGTGGTAGTGAGGCTCAGAGGATCTGAAAGGGATCATTGCGTTACGTTTTTAACGATGAAACTAAAGCACTTTAGTATGTTCTACTATAAAACGTGGAAAGATCCTGCGTTTATCAAAAGAGCTGTCATACGTCTGCGCGTATGGGAAAGGCCAAAATGGCAACTGATTGAACGTTCAGAGAAACATAAGCAGTAACAAAAGCTTAAACCTTTGCGAAACAAAATTTATTCAATTACAAGTATATTTTAGATTCACAGGTGGCATATGACTCTACCGAGGTCGTAAGGGAGCGTTCTTCCCCCTCATTCCAATCCTTAATCACAAAATCATTTATTTTCACGATTAAAAGTAAGATTTCATTTCTCATAGTTACAGTGGACCTTATGGCAATCACTTTCGTTAGCAGCTTTATCTATACCATTGTCGGCCGAACACCAGTATTTTCCCAAAATCATTCATTTTCACGTTTTAAAGTAAGTTTTTTCTCTTCATACTTACAGTGGACATTTAGATAAGCACTTGCGTTAGCAGCTTTATCTATGCCATTGTCAGCCGAACACCAGTATTTTCCAGATTGATTCCTTCTTGTTTCAAAACTCAGTGTTTCTCCTGATCCCACAGTCTTCCCATCTTTTATCCATGTTATCTCTGGGACTGGGTTCCCAGTGGCCGTACAGTGGAATGTTGCCGTTTCACCCTCAAATATGGTCTTGTTCGTTGGTGTTTTGACTAAACTTGGTGAAACTGAAACCAGACAAATCATAGTTAAGGTTTGGAGGCAAAACTTGGTGGAACTATGACAAAGAACAACAAAAAAAGACATTTCTATTTCACGACACGTAAAAATACAGAACACTGATTAAGCTATTTTACTTATCACTATTCCTCTTGTGTTAACCAATTTACAATACTCAACTTTAGATAAAGACTGACGC